TCATTGACACCTCTTCGCAAACTTAAGATGATAATGTAAAGGCCAACTTGAGTTTGAAAACTAGGATAAAAAATTGACCTAGTAGATGTAATTTGGTGAAGATATATGCTTTTTGATCAGCATTGGTACATGAACAAGTCGAAGAGTTTGAACGAGTAGATAGTGATGAATGAAGTGATAGTGAATTTTAATATGTTTAGTACACTCATAAAAAATATTATTGTGAGCTATCTAAATGGCACTTTGATTATTACAAAATATAGGAGTACTAGAGTGATGATAAACACTCATATCTTAAAGTAGCCAGTGTAATCATAAAAGTTCTAATGTGACTTTTGTAAGAGTTCAATACTTAGCTTCAATTTTAGAGCAAGACACCATAGTTTGTTTTTTACTTCGCCAAGAAATAAAAAAAGAACCAACAAAGAAATAATAGCATGTGGTAGAACAACGATCAGTAGGATCTCTTGCCTAATCAACATCATAATAACAATGCAAGTCCAAAGAAGAACTAGAGGAAAAATGTAAATCACGAAATATAGTACCCTTGACATAACCTAAGATTTAAAAATAGTAGCAAAATGAGTAGATCGATGAGCAAACAAAAATTGACTAACCAGATGAACAGCATAAGCAATATTTGGATGAGTAATTGTTAAGTATACAAGACTACTCGCTAGAGTTCGATACCAAGAAGGGTTTGGAAGTGGTGTACCACAAAAGAAGAAAGCTTTAAATTCTATTCAAGTGGTGATGATGTAATCTTGCTATTAGTTAAATCTGTTCGAGTAATAAGATCAGAAGCATACTTTGTTTGAAACAAATTAAACTAGTAGAATCATTAATGACTTTAAAGCTTAAAAAATAACTTAAAAAACTAAAATCTTTCATCTCAAACTTAGAATGAAGAAAAGTTTTCAAATCTTGAATACCATTTACATCATTACCCGTAATGATCATATCATCCACATAAAGTAAGAGAAGAGTAGTATCATTTTTAGTAGTTTGAGTAAAAATGATAGAATCATTATTACTAGATGTAAAATCAAGTTATGCAATAGTGATACTAAACTTTGAGAACCAAGCTCTAGGGTCTTGCTTAAGACCATATAAAGCACGTAAAAGATGACAGACCATGTTGAAAGGTACAAATAAATATGATGTGGTTTTCTTGGTGAGATCACCATTCAAGAAGGCATTTTTAATATCCATTTAAAAGGTTGGCCATTTTCTAGCTATAGCAATAGCTAATAATGAATGAATAGATGTAAGACATGCAATTGGGGTAAAAGTCTCTTCATAGTCAATGCTATATTCTTATGTAAATCCTCGAGCAACAAGACAAGTTTTGTAATGTTCCACTAACCCATAAGATTTAGTTTTGATCTTGTAGACCCATTTATAATCAATCATTGACTTATTAGAAAGTCGTTTAACAATGTTTCAAGTATGAGTTTTCTCAAGAGCCTGAGGCTCATCTACCATTGCTTACTGTTATATAGGATTAGAGACAGCTTTACAAAAATTGTGAGGTTCATGTAACGTGGCTAAAGCATAATAACAATGAAAATCACGAAGTTGAGTGTTAGGTTTCCTTACCTGGGTGAAACGATGAAGTAGAGGTAGTATGTATGGTGAAGGGACAACTATATCAACAGGAACCTCAGTCAAATCAGATAAAAAATGAGTGGAAGAAGATGGATCATTGTTTGAGTCAAAAGTATCTATAATAGTTTTTTTATTTGAAGAAAAATCAAAAGATGAATCTGTAAAAATACATAAAAAAGAACATGGTGAATGTAATAAGGACATACTAGTGAACTTTTTATGTTCTCAAAAAACTACATGTCTTGAGATGTGAAGATGTTTAGACACTAGATCATAACACATATCCCTTGTGTTCTATACCAAAACTTAGAAAATAACATAATCTAGCTCTAGACTCAAGTTTAGTCCTTTCATGAGTAAAAAATAGAACAAAATAAGCACATCTAAAAAATTTGAAAGAATGATAATCAGGTATCTCATTATATAGACACTCATATGGAGACTGTGTGCCTAATACTGGTGTGAAAAAAAATAGTAAGAGTAGCATCACCCTAAAAGTGTTCAAAAAAAAAGAGAAAATGAGAAGGGCACGAACTGTGTCAAAAATATGATGATGTTTTCTTTTAGCTCAAAGATTTTGTTGTGAAGTATATGGGCAAGACCTATGAGGAAGAGTCCTATAATCCTTTAACAAGTTATAAAACTCAATTTTTGTATATTCAGCATCATTGTCAGACTTGAAAATTTTTATTTTTCTAAAAAATTAAGTTTGTATCATGTTATTGAATTCACAAAAAATGGATAAAAGTTTAATTATTTGTTTGAATAAATATATCCAAGTATAATAAAAGAAATCATCAATAAATATAACAAAATAACATGAATCTCTTTAGGTTGGTGTGGGAGTTAAAACCCAAATATCATAATAGACTAAATAAAAAAGAGCAGATGAGATAGAATCATTTTATTAAAAGGTAAAGCACTTTGCTTTCCAAGTTGACAAGCTAAATAATAAAAATATCATGAGAAACATTACCTAAGACATCAGTGGAAACAAGTGACTTTATTTGAGAAATAGATACATGTCCTAGCCTAGAATGTCAAAAATCTAAAGAATTGAAGAGTTAGTTGTTTGAGATGTAGCAATAGTAAGCAAATGTTGTGAATTTTCAAAGTTTCAAGTTCAAACAGTGTTCCAAGCTTACATCTTATCCTAACTTTCTGACCTGTTTGAGGTTCTTGCACAATACAACTATATCATTGTAAAAAATGCAAATCAAAACCAATGTCACAAAGTTGGACAATAGAAAGTAAATTTAAGGCAAGATTAAGAACAAGGTAAGTATCAAATATACATAGTTTTGAGGTTTCAATATTACCAATGTGGCTGGCTTTTAAGACATATCCATTTGCTATTTTAATGATTGGACCTTTAGATACAGTTATCTTATTTTTGAACAAAGAAGGGTCAGTAGTCATATGATTTTCACATGTAGTATTAAACAACTAAACATTATTTGATATGGTAACAGACATGACGGGAATATGAGATTAAGATAATACTTGATTAAATAAAATTTAAAGATCAGTGGTGGAGATTGTAATAAAAAAGACTAAGAAGTGTTTAGTTTAGTGGTTATTGCCACAGAAATTTTGCTAGTGCAAGGATAATAAATTAGACTATCGTTATAATGATATTTAGCTTCATATTTTTGAATGTGATGATTAGTCCTCCCACATCATGAATAAGACTAGTAAAAAGTAGAGCTAGTACTTTTATGAGAAACAAACAATATCAACAATATGAGTCTAACTCATACCTAATCAAGTTTCTTCAAGTATTAATTCCATAAGAGTATTATCCATAGTCGGTAAGGGATATCGATGTAAAAGTGAAGATTTGGTTTTCTCAAATTCATCATGAAGCGTCATTAGAAATTGAATAAGATGAACTTGATTTCGATAAGTAATAAAATTACCAGCATCACTTTCATCTTTAAATTTTGGCTCTAAATTTTTAAGCATGTCCCATAAATGTTACATTTTAGAATGAAAATCATCAATCAATTGACCTAGTTCTTAACGAAGGCGAGATAAAGTGGTCAAATTGTGATATTAATGAGCAAATGTAGTATAGCTGTACCATGTGTTAAGAAAATTTTAAGCATCTTTAGCAAGTTCAAATTGCTCAAAATATACATTGATAAAAAAAATAATGGTGTTAGTGAATTATGTTAGAATTTGATGATTCTTACTTTTTCATTCCTCTAGCCAATCTGTAAAGTATCATCAAATTCTTCTTTTTTTTTTCTTTCTGGTGCTTTGCGTTCTCTGATAACAACAAGCTATAAGTTCTTCCCTTTAGATAACTATGCATAGTCGTAACCCACCTATTATAATTATTTCTATCAAGGATAATTAAAATTGATTGTACATGTTCTCGTTGAATACTTACCATTAAGCTCTTGAAAAAAAATAACATAGAGATATGAGAAGTTATGAGCATTGATATAAAAGATGGATCTTGAAAATGGAAAGAGAAACAAAAAAAAAAAAATGAAGTTAGAAAAGAGAATAAACCAAAGATGAAAACAAGTAAATGTTAGTTATTTTAAGGTGATTCACTTTCGGAATGAAAAATAAAATCTCTATGTACTATAAAAAAAATGATGAAAACTTTATTATACTGACTAGTGTTTTCCAATAAGGCTTAAAGCTTATTTATATAGAGATAAACTATTACAAAATAAAAAATACAATAAATAAAAATAATAATTAAATCAATTCCTATAATTACTTAATCAATATTTAAATCAATATTTAATATTCTCTAAATTAATATCAAATTAATCTTAAATATTACTAAATATTATTAAAATAATATTATCAATTTAAAATATTACTAAAATATTATTAAAATATCATTGACATCATATAATATGTAAGAAGTATTGTAATAACTACTTAAAAAGGAAGGTTTCTTTTTTTTTTTTAGCCAACGAGACTTTAATATTAAAAGTCAAATACAAAGAAAAATTAAAAATAAAAAAAATTATATTTTAACATACAAAGCAAAACAAATGAAAGCAGCAAAAAAAAAAAAAAAAAAAAACAGAAATGAAACAAATAATAAAAAACATAAAAGGAAAAAGGGAAAAAATGTATAGAAATAGACCTTGAAACCAATTTTAATCCACCAATACATATTCATATTTATAACTGTGAGATAGGATGCTAAAATTAAGAATACTAATTTTAGATAAATAATAATAAAAAAGCAAATTGATTATAAATTGAATTCAAATTTATTTTTATAAGCAAGAAAATTTAATATTTAAAAGGAAACAAACATAAATAATTCAGCCAAATCAAATAAGTTTAGTTTTTTTTTTCTTAATGAAAATTGGACTAAAGTATCGTGTAATTATTAAATAAAAAACAATAAAATAAAACCACACACTCCAAAGTCCAAAAACCCTTGAAATCGAAACCTAAAACCCCAAAGGGAAAATAGCAAAACATCAAACGAAAGGATAGAAATGGGGAAGAAGAAAAGCCAGCAACCATCACCCTCGACCGACGATCTTCTCAAAACTCTCGGAGACTTCACGAGCAAAGAAAACTGGGATAGCTTCTTTACCCTCCGAGGCAGCGATGACTCGTTCGAGTGGTACGCTGAGTGGCCTCAGCTCCGTGACTCACTCCTCCCTCTTCTTCAACAACAACAACAACAACCATCACCCTCTTCTTCTTCTTCTTCTTCTTCTTCTTCTTTGCAAATATTGGTGCCTGGTTGCGGCAACTCCAGACTATCCGAACATTTATACGACGCCGGATTTAAAGATATAACCAATATTGATTTCTCGAAAGTTGTCATCTCCGACATGCTTCGACGTAATGTCAGGGACCAACCCAACATGCGTTGGCGGGTTATGGACATGACCCAAATGCAGGTTTCTTCTTATTTTCTCAACTTTTTTTTAATAATTTGTTTGGATTTCTTATTTGTTACTAATTTTGATGTCATAAAATTTTCCTTCTTTTTTTTGCTACAAAAAATGCTAAGTAGCATTTCTTGGGTGAAATTTTAACTTCCCAAGATGCCTTTGGCGCACTTGATGTTAGATAGAATGAACAAATTAAGAACGTATGTGCTATTTTAATCTTATGAGTTAATATTGTGCATTTTAGAAAAGGGATGGTTAGAGATTATTTGAAAATTTATGGTTTTTCTTAATCGTTTCAAATGTGTATGGAATTTGGTTTTAGTCTTACATGATATCAGCTAGAAGACTGCTGTATTACTATTAATCGTAACTCCTGACCATCTCCTTAGTAATCCCAAGTTCGTATTAACAATTATCGTCTCTTGCAATGGGAAGTTTAATTAGTATTGACTAATGTCAACCTATCGGCCATAGTGTTAAGATAAACGGCTGTGTCATATTAGTAGTCTCTTTCTTGTCACTGTATTCTTATGGTCACTTTGTTTGATCTATCAATGCTAGCTAAATTGTATTTTGCTTATTATGCTTCTTGGTGAAGGAGGATTTTTTTTTTTAAATTAATGTTCTGGTTCAAGGACTTTATGGTCGGTCATTTTCTTTTCATTTACCTGATATCGCTATGTTTACCAGTTCACAGATGATACATTCAATGTTGTTCTTGATAAAGGTGGATTGGATGCTCTGATGGAGCCAGAGCTTGGCCCTCAGCTGGGAAATCAATATATATCAGAGGTGTTGTGGAGTTTGATTCTGTTTATTTATTTATTAATTTATTATCTGTTCCATGTAGTTGGTAACATACTTCACTTGTTATAGAAGGTTCAATTTTTTTGTTGGATTCATAAAAGTTGCATTTATATCACCAGGTGAAAAGAGTTTTGAAATCCAAGGGTAAATTCATCTGTCTTACCTTGGCAGAATCTCATGTTCTAGGTACTTTTTACCTTAATGTGGAAAGAATTTGGTTCTACTTTCTATTGCTTTGGCTTATGTTAGTTTCCTTTTTAAAGATTTATTAATGAAGTCTGTCTGGTCGTTTATAGATGGACATTGGATGGGAAACCATTCATTACTTGCTTAATTATTTTTCTTCATATTTTTATCCTACATTTTTTTTATCAATTACTGCCTCTGCTAAGATATATGTTGCTTTCTACCCATTTAGGTTTGCTTTTTCCTAAGTTCAGATTTGGTTGGAATGTGAGTCTCTATGCTATACCTCAGAAACCATCTAGTAAGCCTGACCTTCAAACGTTTATGGTGGTTGCTGAGAAAGAGAATTCCGATGAACTGCACCAGATCATGACATCTTTCAGTCATTCTTCCCTTGGTTGCAATCCACATCAGGTGCTTAGGATCTAGTTGTTATTATTCTTGTTGTTGTTGTTGTTATTTTTTTTACTTTTTGTAACATAAATTGAGTAAAAGTGCACAAAGTAGTCAGTCATTTAAATGTAATAAGTATCCTAGTTCATGCAATGCTTTCTTGAATGTTTGAACCAAAATGAATATAGGCAAATGAATTTTCTTATTATAGTTTGTTATCAATATAATATCCATTATAAAATCCTGGAGCCTGAATCACTTTAAAGGTTTTGATTTAAACCTTGAATCTGTTTTTAGGCTTCTGGTCTTCACGAAGCCCTTGAAAGTGAGAATCGAATTCGTGGAGAATACTTGAGTGGATCTGATATACTATATTCTCTTGAAGATCTGCAACTAGGAGCTAAGGGGGATCTGACAAAACTTAACCCTGGTCGCCGAGTTCAGCTTACTCTGGGCGAACAAGGGGTCTCTCGTTTTTGTTACAAAGCTGTATTGCTTGATGCTAAACAACAGTCCGGTGCATTCTCTTTTCACTATGGCGTCTTTATTGTTCCTAAGGTATGACTTTAAATAGCTTAGATACACTTTTTGAGGCAAAGTGCTTGGGATCAGATTAAAATGAAGTCTGCTTAGTTATAGCTCAGAAGTTACCTCTATTTTGATTTAATTGAAAAGAGTATTACATTATTTCTTAAAACTGGTTACATTCATTTATTTGTTCACGTCAAAGTTGTTGCTTCATTGGTTCTAAAAACATGTGTTAGGTGTTCAAGTTTATGAAAAAATCAGTGTCTTTAGAATACAAATGGACTATGGGCATAGAAACTGGTTGGTTAGTGTCCTCTATTCCTGTATTGGTCAGTAATTGGCCTAGGCTTTGACTAACTGGTATAATGCATATAAGTCCTCTAATACGCCTGATTATGCATTGGGCCTTAAGAGGCACAATAAAATTTGTGTGACAAGTGAAAACATTTTATGTTATTATTTGTTTCCAAAAAATTGCTAATTTCCATCTTGAGTTTATAAATGCTTCCTAACTTGAGAAATCAGAATATATGCAACTTGGGGGTCTTTTAGAATCGATGACATTGTTTTTTAAATCAAATTACAATGACAAAATTGCATGTAACTCTTCTGGTGTCTCGATAGGTGAACAAGTTTCTTCTGAATTTGCTACAGTGGTGGTTTAGTTGCTACAGTTTTTTTTCTAACTCTTCCCAGATTTGTGATACAATCAACCCTTGGTGTGATGCTTAGGTTTCTTTCTCGATTGTGTGATGCGATCAAGGAACCGTAGGTGTGAAGCTTAGGCTATATTCTTCTTTCTGTTTCCCTATCTCTTTAACCAAATTTCCCTATTTTCCTTAAAATATTTTAGATTATTGTTATTGTAAAGCCAAGCCCCCTAAGCTGACCTGTGTCAACTTGCTTTGGCATGGAATCTTACACAGATTTCTCTGATGAATTCATCTTAACTGTATCCTTTCTGTCAAGTTTGAAAAGTAATGTTACTCAATTCATCACAGGCCATTGCCATGGCAAATGGAACTGCCTCAGAGACTGGCCTTTCTTCTTCTATATTTGCAAGGAAAATGAAAAAGATTGTAAAATTATTGATAATAAAGAGCTTTTTCTTTTCAAATTTATTTATATCTTTTTGATCCAAGTAGCTAGGGTGGGTTTGTTATTAAGAGTTCTTCTTCTATTTCCCTTGCTACCTTGTTAGCTCCTTTTACTTTGTAGGAAACATTTATGGCAGAAAAAGCTAAAGGTGTTGAACATTTTTAAATTGCACTTAAGTTTCTTGGCATATGTTGTCCTACATTTATATTTTTGGCCAATTTGAGGCAAGTGATATCCTTCTGTTTGAAATAGTAACTTAATCTTAGATTTCAGACTCGGGCTCATGAATGGCTCTTCTCTTCAGAAGAAGGACAATGGCAGGTGGTTGAAAGCTCAAAGGCTGCTCGTCTAATAATGGTAGCTTTTTGTACTACAATTGAATTGATAATTCAAGGTCTGTTTTTGGGAAACTTATTGTCCAATTAAATCATCTAAGCATAATTTTGTATCATGAATGAAGGTTTTATTGGAGACCATCCACACTAATGCTGATATGGAAGATATTCAGGTATGCTACACAGATATAGCTTCTCGTGTCAACTTTCATCTGGTAACTACAGTTGTTTGATGATATTGCAATATCTTTTAGAAGGATTTGTCTCCTCTGGTGAAACCGTTGGCTCCTGCAGATAATGATAAGGGCGATCAAATTCCGTATGTTCATATTCACTTCTTTCATAAATTTTCCATTAGCTATTATCCATTCTTCATAATTTATGTTTTATTGTAAGGGATTCTAAATGTTGGATTAGTGGGTTACTTTGGAATGTGCCCTTCGTCATTATTTTTTGTAATTTACAGATCACCTGCAATGTGTGAAGGCAATGCTGCCTTTGTTTTGATACTTTTATGTTTTGCTTTGGTCCCTGACTTCTAGAACTAAAAGTGTTCATTACACTGCAAAAGAATGGAACAGACTAATCCTTTAATCATTGGACTTCAGACATGGGGATCAAGGGCAAGACTACTGCTTTCTCGCTGCCACTTAAGAAAATTGGTGATTATATAAAGGCTCACAAAATTTTCTATTCTGGTGGACATTGTAACATTTACCAGTCTTAGGCAAAAACTTTCCCTTATTTTAAGGACTAAAACTTGAAGCAAACTATATAAGTAGTTAGTGCTCTATGAAGCATGAACTAAGTCAGTTTAATTTTGCCTAGTTCTTCTACCTCGTTGCATTTCTATTTTTTGCTGCTCTTTTTGTTTGCTATATAGCCAAACAATAATCTGTTCATTTTGTGATGGATTCTTGGTTGTTTTACCAAACCAGGTTTATGACAGCGAGTGATGGAATTAAGCAGCGAAACATTATTTACCAGGTTTATAGTTCTCTTACAGTGCTATTTTCTCTTACAATGTGTCTGTAACTTTTTGAGCACCATCTATGAGAGTTTTCATTCTTATCATGCTTTACTCATTGTTTATATAAAAAGGCAAATTTTTGGTGATTATCTAGATTCTAGAATGTGTCATCTAACAACATTACTGGACTAGATACATTGCATGATATTCCTTTCAGCATCTTTGGTATACTTATTGTTGGCATTTGTTATTATTTGAAGACAAAGTAGTATATGAATCAAATTTATTTGAAACTCTATATTTTAAGTATTGGGTTGTGTTCTTTACCAATGTTGTAGCTTCCACAGAAACTGTTCCCCTTACTTGACCACTTAAACGCTTTTTAACTGAGAGAACATTTGGGATTTGTGCGCTTGATAGAACATAAATCAATCTAAAAAATTACAGGTGCCCACATTAGGCTGGTTTTATGTTCAAAAAGAATTTGCACAGGGATGTCAAAATCCATTCGGGCTTTATTGTCATAAATTTGCATCATAAATTTGTGGGCTTGATAGAACATAAATCAATCTCAAAAGTTACAGGTGCCTACATTGGGCTGGTTTTATGTTCAAAAAGAATTTGCACAGGGATGTCAAAATCCATTCCTGGGTTTTATTGTCATAAATATGCATCATATCTTGAAATCTAGTGGCCAATTGTTCTGAGTCTGTAGTGATTAATCATCTCCCTTGAGAAAACCATTTGTCATATGCTCACAAAATATTATTTCGAACCATCATTAGGCGGTTATCTTGTTTATAATTAAATTTGTAGGTCTTTTTCCTTGGCTGCTATGTCATTTGCTATGTTCTGTATAATATTTATTATTTTTCAGAATGTGGCTGCTTGGTTTGTGCCTTCTCATCAAGTGAATTGATTGCTTGTATTTTATACAGGGCTCATCTTCTTTGACTGGGCCTATTGTTATTGAAGATGTTGTTTATGAAAATGCTGATGGTGATGTCAATCGATCTTTGCCCTTCCGTCGCCTTATTTTCCGAAGAACTGAGAGCCTGGTACAATCTGAAGCTTTGCTAACTAGGGATGGATTGTTTGACAGAAGTGTCTATGAAACAGAGCTGAAGAAAGCCAGCTCATCTTCCAAAATCAAACGAAGTGGAAGACAAAGAAGAAATAATGGTAATGATTTTTCTTTCAAAATTTTGGTAGTTTTGGTTAACTCTTTTATAATGCTGGATGAGTTTGTTTGAATTGTAAGACCTATTTCATGTTTTGATGTGTGGAATTCCATGAAACTAATTCTTTAGATCATGTTGTCTTTTACTTTTTTAAGAGATTTGAAAAGGTGCTCTAGAATGTTAGGTGCAGGCAGGAACTGGAAACTTCTTTTTGGAAGACTGCAGATTGAGGTTTCATGTAAAGTTTCTTTCTTTGGACCACAGACCACTATAGTTTGCTGACAGTGAAAAAACAAGTAGTGAATTCATGGTTATGTGCTAGAGTGACAAAATAGTTGATCCTCTACTAATTTACTGTTCAGTTGGTCACATCTAGCCCATGTTTTCTCATTCTTTGGTATTTTTTGGGTGATGCCTAAACTTTGGTTGACTTTTTTAGCAAGCTGGATGGATGTTTTTTGTGAGAAACAATCTACTAAGATAGCACTGCCCTGTCAGCGCTATATAATTCATTAGAATTTATTAGATATTTGATACTGAACTGGAAGACTATGGTCTTCCCGACACTTTTCTTGTGGCTTTATGCTCCTCTTTAGAATATTGATGTCTTAGACCTTTGGTGTTTAGCAGTGTTTTCTTTCTTTTGTTATTAGTGTGGAAAAACTAAGAGTATATTGAAAAACTTCTCTATTGAATTATAAAAGCACCTTAAGTTTATATACAGCTAACTAGAGGATAAACTAGGAAACTAGATCTTCTTAAAGTTGATCCCTATAATTGAGGGATTCTCTATCCTAATTTTGTGTCCTTAATTCTAGGGATACAAATATATACAGATTACAACCAGCTGTAATTAAGTGTTTTACCACACTCCCCTTCAAGCTGGTGAATAGGTGTTTTCCATTCCCAGCTTGGAAATAATTTCTTGAAATGTTACATTGCTGAGACCTTTAGTCGACACATTTGCAAGTTGACCCTTGGTTGATACATCAACACACTGTGTAGTTTCTCCTTTATGAAGTGCCAGTCTACTTCAATATGTCTTGTTCTATCATGTTGCACAGGATTGTGTGCAATGCTTATTGCAGACTTGGTTATCACAGTAGAGTCTCGTTGGTTCATCCCACTTGATTTTCAAGTCTTTTAGGATAATCTTTAACCATAGTAGTTCATAAATTCCTTGAGCCATTGCTTTAAACTCTGGTTCAGCACTTGATCTTGCCACAACATTCTTTTTTTTTTTACTCCTCCAAGTCTCAAGATTACCACTTAGGAAAGTGCAATAGCCCGAGGTGGATCTTCTATCAATTACCGAACCTGCATAATAAGCATCTTTATACACCTTTAGTTCCAGCCCCTAATTTCTTTTGAACAAGATATCTCTCCCAGGATTGGCCTTCAAATAGTGTAGTTCACTGTAGATAGTGTGTTGGTGCACTTATTTAGGATTATGCATAAACTGACTTATCACTCTAACAACATATGCCACATCAGGTCTAGTTTGAGAGAGATAAATGAGTCTTCCAACTAATATCTAGTACATCTCTCTATCTAGAGCAGCATCTTCGTTAGCTTCTCCAAGTTTATGATTACATGCGAGCTTCCTAGTTTCGTTAAAAGGATCCATCACATATTTCTATTGTGAGATGAAAATAACATGCTGTGAGTGAGCCACTTCATATCCTAGGAAGTACTTCAATCTCCCTAGCTCTTTTATCTCAAATTCTCTAGCCAAACATTGTTTTAGAGATTCTCTCTCGTTTTCATCATCTTCGGTTATAATTATATCATCAGCATGCACTAACAAAAGTGTGACTCTCTTTGAATCCGAGTGCTTGATAAACAGCGTGTAATCTCTTGACTCTGCTTAGATCTCATTGCTAGTATTACTTTGGCAAATCTCCTGAATCAGGACTTGGGAGATTGTTGTTGTATAAAGCCTTTTTCAGCTTGCATATATCTTTTGCTTCTAGATGACCTCCAAATCCCGGTGGAACCTCTATATATTTTTCTTCTTCCAAATCACCATGTAGAAAAGCATTTTTTACATCAAAATGTTGAAGCTGCCAATTGTAATTTGTGGCCAAGGATAACAAAATCCTAATTTTATTCATCTAGGCAATTGGGGCAAATATTTTCCTGATAATCCACTTCATAAGTTTTAGTGTAGATCTTAGTTGCCAACCTAGCCGTATACCTTTCAACAGTACGATCCGCCATGTATTTTATAGTAAAAACCAATTTACACCTAATTGGATATTTTCCTTTAGGCAACTCTACCAGTTCCCATGTCTTATTTTTCTCTAAGGCCTTCATTTTCATTTTCATGGCCTGCCTCCATTTCTTTTTGGATAATGCCTCCGATAATGTAGTTGGAGTAGAAATAGTGTTTAGGCTCACAAGGAAATTTTTGTCGGATGGTGAGAATTTTTCAAATGACACCAAATTAGAGATTGAGTATAGTGAATGCTTAGTACATTCTCTAATTCCTTTTCTAATGGCCATAGGTAGATCAAGCTCATTTTGAGATTCATGCTCACTTTGAGAAATAGAGTTAGAGATTGTAGTTACCTCATTTCCAGAGTTAGGATTAGGTTTTTGGACTTGAACTGGTTCAGGAGCTGGAATTATCCTTTTTGAGTACACCTGTAATTACTTTATAGAATCAAGAACAATATTATCCATAGTCATAGCTTCTGTGTTTGGGTTCAAACTCAGGTTCAGTGTTTGATTTGGACTCAGAAGAAATGGGTTTAGACTTAAAAGAATTAATGGGTGAAGATGTTGAGGAGGAGGACAAGTCAAGCAAAACGAAGTATTTATCCTTATCTTCCATAAATGAAGTCTCCCCATGAAGATAAGGTGAGTTAAAATTGATTTATTTTTCAAAAATGACATCTGTAAACACATAGAAATTTTCTGTGGGAGGACGATAGCACTTATACCTTTTTTGACTTGGTGAATACTACACAAAAACACACTTGACTGCTCTTGGATCCAACTTCCCCCTATTATGATTGTGAACATCAACAAATGATGTACAACCAAATATCCTAGCATATGCTATGACTGACTTGTTCCCTTTTTTGAGAGTTGCAGTCTTGATCTTCTGTTCATAGACTTCAGCAGCATCCCTAACTTTGGAGTAGGTTTGCCGAACTGACTCCCAAATGTCTTTGGTCATGGACTAAAACATGCAAGTGTCATTGGTGTCTGGTGTCATAGAATTCCATAGCTATGACAACCATGGAATCCTCTTCATCCCAACCCTCAAATTTTGAATCTCCTTTCCTAGGGCCAGTACCAGGAAGATGGTTCAATTATCCTTTCCTTTTTAGAAAGATTTGAACCAACTGAGACCACTTCAAGTAGTTCTTTCCATTCAATCTATACACAGCTTGGATATTTTGTAGTTCTCCTGTGGTTTGACCAGTTGTCACTTCCTCAAATTGGGTAGTGGTGGCAGATTCTGCTATCTTCAACATGGTTATCTTTCTCAGGATTAAACAAGTCTTGATAGTGGAGATTTAACCAGAAACGATTCTTGGCAATGAAGGCCGAACAAGGAAAAAATAAAACGACTATGAAAGACTTAACGGGATTTGGCTATGAAGGCCTAAAATAGAAATCAGCAACGAAGGCTGAAAAAAAAAAAATCTTTCCAAGAAAAGCCTAAAGGTCTGATGCCATGTGGAAAAACTGAGAGTATATTGACTAACTTATCTGTTGAATCATACAAGTATCTTAGGTTTATATACAACTAACTAGAGGATATACTAGAAACTAAATCTTACTAAAGGCGATCCCACAATTGAGGGATTGTGTATCCTAATTTTCTATCCTTAATTCTAGGAGTACAAATATATACAGATTACAACCAGCTGTGATTGAGTGTTTTCCTACATTAGTTTTATATGATTTTTGTACTTTTAGGTCCTTGAGCAACATGTCTTCAAAATATTGAAATTACCTTCCGTCTGAGATTCTTCCTATTACTTTTTTAATTGTTAAATTACTGTACTCCTTCCAAAAAGGCTTCTTTTAAACTGCATGTTTGTCATTCTGATAATAATTTTCTTAACATATAGAGTCAAGCAGCAAGATGAAGGTGTATCATGGTTATTTGGCTAGTTCTTATCATACAGCGATCATTTCTGGCTTTTCACTGATTTCATCCTATTTGGAAAGTGTGGCATCAGCTGGGAATAGAGTAAGGCTTACACTCTTTTCTTAGTGGAATATTTGATAGATTTTTGCATGGATGAAGTTTAGACATCCGTATCGCATGGTTTTCTTGTCTTCATTTGATATATAAAATTCATGGTTGCTTGATTAAAGTATATTTTGGTGGTTGTTTGATTTGCATAGATGAATAAATGAACATTCTTTCTGAACCGTGGGTCATACTGCTGCGTGTCAGACATAGACCTACTTTAGCCAACTTTCAGATTTGAAGGTCTAATCATTGCTGCAAAATGTTTTAGCCTCAATAGTCAAAGGCCATGTGATTGAACTTTTCTCTGAAAACATTGATGCTCTTTTTTGTGATGTGCTGCTCATGTTAAAAATCATCTTTCTCAGGTTAAAGCAGTTGTGATAGGTCTTGGTGCAGGTTTACTTCCTATGTTTCTTCATGGATGTATGCAATTTATGCAAATTGAGGTAAATTTTATGTTACACCCTCAAAGATCTGCCAAGCTGTCTTTCAAAATAATTGTTTTTTTTTTTTTAAATTTAATGATTTTTCTCATTGTTTTTAAAGTTGATTTCACTTGATGGAATTTGTGCAATGAAATTTTTATCCACAGGCAGTGGAGCTAGATCCTACCATGCTTAACCTTGCAAGAGACTACTTTGGTTTTACTGAAGGTAAATATTTGAAGGTAACTAACTGTACCTCAGTGCATCTTTATTTCCTTTTTCATTATAGATTTTTTTTAAGAGATTAATCCTTTCCTGAAAAACTAGCATTTTCACCGTCAATGTCTTGTTTCCAATAATTAACAACATTATTTTTGTTTTCATCTTCAATCAATACAACTCACACATGGGGAACTAGCCTTTAAGCAGATGATGCATTAAAGATGCTATGCATAACATTTTAACCTTCATAACTGTTTATTGTCAATTAGGCTAAACCCTCCAGCTATTGTGATCAAAATTGGGCTGGATTGTTTGGTCTAATTGGAAAATCTGTGAGGCCTTGAATATCTTCAAGTTCTTGCCTGAAAGTTTTTTGCAAACCTTCTTAAACCCTCTTGGAATCGATGGATTAACTGATGCTTGGTGAACTGCTTTAAGTTGAGAAAATTGGCTAGTTTTTGCTAGTTTTCCGAGGAAGAGTAAAGTAACTCCAAATATTGCTGATGGATGGACTTCACCTAGTGACCTCAATATTTGATGAGGGCACATTGTAGCCCACTGGATGTTTTGAATGTTCCCGCAGTCCTTTTTTTGTGTGTATACGTGTTCTTCTTTAATTTATTAGAGGTATGCATATGGTCTTTTGGTATACAATGATTGTTCTATATTTTTTAGATATAAAATAATATGTTTAATATGAAATTACATTACAAGCAATTCGATCATATAATACATTACTTTGTCTAAATGTAATTGTCAAATTAGATATATGATTGACAATATATTTAGGGTAAATCAACCCGGTTGTATGCTCCAAGTATTTTTTTGCTACCTTCTTACTCAACTAAGGCTTCTCATTATTGTTTTGTAATATAATTTTCAAATTACATATTTATATAATTTTGTTATTATTACTTTTGGTTCGATTTTTTACTCAAGATATCAAGGCTGTATTCGCTCAATAATCTTTTTAATGGCTTAGGTATAATAATAAAAGTTGGAGAAGATAGAATGAATAAAATAAGAAAATAGTTTTTGTTCAAACCTTTTCTGGAATTCATATGTAAAGAACTTTAAGATGGCAGATGTAACATTCTTTTTCTTTTATAGAGCTTTAAAAACATGGCTTTCCAATGATTTTCAGGTACATGTCGCTGATGGCATCCAGTTTGTTCGGGACTACAGAAACTTATCTGCAGCTGGGGATATGCCTCCTCACGAAAGCAAGGATGCTTCGAGCAATGAAATGCTCCTATCTTCCAATGGAAGTTGCAATTCTTCAGATGCAGAAAGCAGAAGAAAAACCACTGTTGACATAGTTATTGTTGATGTGGACTCTCCAGACTCGAGGTGAATGGAACTACCAACTGTTGCAACAATTGTCATTGAAAAGCTGAAAGGCTTTAATATTTTTTAATCATCTCTATTATATTATCTTTATAGCTCTGGAATGACCTGTCCTGCTGCTGATTTTGTGGAAGAGTCTTTTCTTCGAAATGTAAAAGATACCCTTTCTGAGCAAGGTCTCTTTGTTATTAATTTGGTCTCAAGGTCTCCTGCCATCAAGGACGTGGTTGTTTCAAGGATGAAAGAGGTAAGAATAAAGAACTTCATAATTAGTGTCATTAATCAAAGTTTATTGCCTGTTTAATAGTTTTATTCTCTCTCTCAATCTATTTTATCTCTATATATATCTAATACAAAATATATTCTAAAGGCCTCTTTAAAATGCTATCACGGCTAAGATGTTTGTTGAGTTTGTTGCTTGAAGGTTTGCCCCAACCAAAAGATTCTTAACATGCTATGTAAATGTGGATACAACAATATCTTGCTTGCTTTTTTACATACTCTGCATTGTAGGACACTTTATTAATTGCATTATATGTAATAATTAATATAGTTTGAAAAAAATGCTTCAAGAATGTCAATTAGTTGAATCAATTATATTAACAAGAATGTGTGTGCATCTGTATATATCAATATATTCCTTGTGCTTCTTGCTCTTATCGAACATTGAATTCCAAAAAGAACTTTTATCTGATGAGATTCAATCTGACCAATTTTATCTGATGTATTATCATCTTAACTTTTTCACCAACTTCTCTTAATTCAAAGTTTTCAGTCACTATAAAAACTGTCATTCATCTAGTGTAATACTGTTTTTGAAACAGTTCTAAGGTAGGAATGTTTGCTATATCCCATCAACAATTTTTTGCATTTTTCCATGTTTATTAAATCTATATAGCTCCTACCACATAAATCTGATTGGCAGTTTGTGATGTTATGCTCACCTTTCAGGTCTTTAGCCACTTATTTTGCCTTCAACTTGAGGGAGAGGTCAACCTAGTACTTTTCGGTCTTTGTTCGGATTCTTACATCGAGGAGGATTGCATACCTGAAGCCACTCTTAGACTTGAGAAATTGCTCAAGTCCAAGCATCCCGAGATAAGCCAGAGCATCACCGATGCAGCAAAGAAACTCAGATGTTTAAAGTGAGGGCAGTTTGATAACGATTTTCCTCTCAAGTGACTTGAGCAGGATTTGGCAGATTTGGAGTATTTGACATTGAAAGTAGGGGATTGAAGATTGCACTGCATGAAGAGAAATGCGGAGGTATTTTCCATTGGACGGTATGTATTCAGCATCTCCAGTTAGGTTGTTCAACTTCTGACTGTTTTCATCTGCAAGGTGTAATAGTATTAACCTGTAAATCATACCATTGTGAGTATGAGTTTTGCCGGACTTTGCATCTGATCAACCTTAATTGATTCACTGAGACCAGTGCCCTGTTCTGTTTATGGAAATGTTTTGCTCTTCCTTTTACTCCTTGAATAAGTGCTAGCATTGTTTGAAAGTCCCCCTAGAACCAGCCAGTTCCTACGGGGCTGTGCTAAAACCCATGAAGGGGGTCAAGATTCAACATGAAACAAACCCTGTAGTTCAGCTAATAATAATCCGAATGGATAATTGGATAAAGGGCAATTTTGCCACTGTACTATAGGTGTAAAAGTACAGTGATAAAAGTACACTGACAAAACATAGTCAAAATAGTAGTGGAAAACAAGAATTTATATAAAAAAATAGAAGGAAAAAAAAAGAAAATGTCTAATAACCAGCATGCTGCAAATTTTTCTCTGAGTGAGTTCATATGCCAATTTAAAAAATTGAACTGTATGTAAGCATGAGCGCCCTTTTTTTGCCTTACAACAGTCAATGTTCAATAAGCCCATAGAAAAGCTAGCGTGTATACACACACACACGCACAAATTCTCTGCTGCAACAGTAAAAATCATTAATCACACAACCTATTGGAAGAAAGGACTATTCGGAGGCTGAGCGCTAGGGACTAAGCAAACTCTTAAAGCTCAATCTCCAATAGTGTTTTATTTCTTGGCACAGCTGCAGGGGGGAGGGATGGAGACTTTCTTCCCTTTTGATGATTCTTATATGAACTTAGAACTGAAAAAAAAAATATATATATATATATATATATGTTCTCATTCTATATTTTTTTTGTTAGTTTGGTATTTGAAGAAATAAAATTATCTGTTTGGTACTAAATCTTTCATTCTGTCATCATTTTGGCACTTTGGACTTAACCTCATTTACTTCCTAATGTGGCATAAGCATTTAATAATATATTGATACGTGTTCCAAAGTTCAATTAATGTCACAAAATCAATTGTTATGTTAGCATTAAATGAAATTTTTTTTAAAATTTTAAAAAATCTAAAATATTTTTAAAATTAAAAAATTTTAAAATATAAAATATATTTTTAGAAATTATAAAAATTAAAAATTTATCAAAACTAAAAAAAATTCAAAATTTTAAAAATCTTAATAAAAAATTCAAAAAATTCTTAAAATTAAAACAAATTAATAAAAATAAATATTTCTTAAAATTAAAAAAAGGATTAAAAAAACCTTAAAAATTTTGAAAATAAAAAATCTAATTTTTTCAAAACATTTGCAAATTAAAAATATCTAAATTTTTTTATTTGAAAAATTATAAAAAAATTTGTCTAAAATTTTTAAAAATTTTGAAAAAGTAAAAATTTTTAAAAATTTAAATATTACAAAAAAATATAAAAAATTTTATAAATTTTAGTAAAAAAAAAATTAAAAAATTAAAATTTTAATAAAAAATTTCAAAAAATCTAAAAAAATTCATAAAATATATATAAAAAATTAAAATAGTAAGATTAAAAAATAAAAAATTTTCGTAATTAAAAATGTTTTTACAATTTAAAAAAAATTATATTTTTTTTCAAAAAATTCTGGGTTTTTCTTTATTTTCAATTTTTTTTTGTTTTTGTGAATTTTTTTGAATTTGATGAAAATTTTATTTGTACTAAAATTTTTATTTTGTTTAAAATTTTCGTAATTTTTTAAGTTTTCAAAAAATTTTATCAAAATTTGAGATTTTTTAAACATTTTTTGAATTTTCATAATTTTTCAATTATTTCAGTTCTTTAATAATTTAAAATAGTATTTAGATTTTTTCAAAAAAGTTCTAAAATTTTTTTTACGTTTGTGAATTCTTAAAAAAATAGCTCTTATCTTATATATTTTTTTGTTAGTTTGATAAAAAAAATTATTAGTTCAGTACTTGAACTTTCATTTTATTATCCTTTTAATACTTCGGATTAATGTCATTAGTCCATTTATTGATGTGACATGAATATCTAATAATATGTTAATGTATATAAAAAAGTTTAATCAATGTCACATCATCATTTGTCACATTAGTATTAAATGAAAAAATAAAAAAATTCTAGAAAAGTTCAAAAAAAAAATTTTTAAGTATGAAATATTTTTATAAAATTTTAAAAATTTTAAATTTTTTTTAAAAAGTATGAAATATTTTAAAATTTTTTCTAAAAATATGAAATATGAAAAAATAAATAAATAAATAAATATAAAAATATTCTTGTTCTATATTTTTTTATTAGTTTAGTATTTAAATAAATAAAATTATTTGTTTGGTACTAAACCTTTCATTCTATCATCACTTTAGCACTTCGAACTAATGTCATTTACTTTCTAATGTGGCATAAACATACAATAATATGTTTAACATGTGTTCAAAAGTTCAATTAATGCCACATAATTAATTGTCACTTAGCATTAAATGAAAATTTTTTTTAAATTTTAAAAAATTTGAAATGTTTTAAAAATTAAAAAAATTTTAAATATATGAAATATATTTTTAGAAGTTACAAAAATTAAAAATTTATGAAAACTAAAAAAATTCAAAAAAATTTCAAAATCTTGAGAAAAAATTCAAAAAATTCTTAAAATAAAAAAAATGTCTTAAAAATTAAAAAAAGGATTAAAAAAAACTTTAAAATTTCGAAAATAAAAAATCTATTTTTTTTTTGCAAACATTTTCAAATTAAAAAAAAAATCTAATTTTTTTTTTCATTTGGAAATTTATAAAAAAATTTCCTTAAAATTTCAAAAAAATTTTGAAAAAGTAAAAATTTTAAAAAATTTTTATATTGCAAAAAAATTATGAAAAAATTATGAATTTTTTAAAAAAATAAAAAATTTAAAAATTAAAATTTTAATAAAAAACTCCAAAAGATCTAAAAAATCTAAAAAATTCATAAATTATACCAAAAAAATTAAAATTGTAAGATTAAAAAAGTGAAAATTTTTCATAATTAAAAAAAAAGTTTTTCTAATTTTTTTAAAATTTTTTAGATTTTTTTGAAATTTTTTTTTTATTTTCAAATTTTTTACGTTTTTGTGAATTTTTTTGAATTTGATGAAAATTTTATTTGTATTAAAATTTTTATTTTGTTTAAAATTTTCATAATTTTTTAAGTTTTCGAAAATTTTATCAAAATTTTGTGAATTTCTTAACATTTTTTGTATTTTCATAAAATTTAAATTATTTAAATTATTTTATAATTTTTAAAAAATATTTATATTTTTTAAAAAAATTTTAAAAATTTTTGAATGTTTGTGAATTTTCAAAAAAATAGCTGTTATCCTATATATTTTTTTATCAGTTTTGTACAAAAAAGTAAAATTATTTGTTTAGTACTGAAACTTTTATTTCATTATCCTTTTGGTACTTATGATTAACGCCATTAGTTCACTTCGCGATACGACAAGAACATCAAATATTATGTTGATACATGTCAAAAAATTTAATTAACGTCACATCATTAATTGTTATGTTAACATTATATGAAAAATTCAAAAAATTCTAAAGAAGTTCAAAAGAAATTTTTTTTAAAGTATGAAATGTTTTAAAATTTTTTAAAAATATAAAATATTTTTAGAAATTATAAAAATTTAAACATTTGAAAAAATCTCAAAATCTTAAAAAATTCAAAAAAATTGTTAAAATTCAAAAAAATGAAAATTTTGTAAAAATAAATATTCTTACAAATTAAAAAAGGATTAAAAATTTTTAAAAAATTAATAATCTAAAATTTTTTGATAAAATTTTTAAATTAAAAAAAATCTAATTTTTTTTAAAAAATTTTGAAAATTTATAAAAAGTTTAAAAGATTCAGAACTTTTTGAAAAATTAAAAAATTTGAAAACCTTAAATGTGCCAAAAAAATTATAAAATAATTATAAAATTTGAAAAGTAGAAAAATAATTAAAATTTTAATAAAAATTTCAAAAAATTTTAAATTTTTAAGATTTTTGTATTTTTTTATTTCAAAATTTTTTAGTTTTTTGAATTTTAAAAATTTAATTTTATTAAAATTTTTATTTTGTTTGAAATTGTTTTTTTTTTTTAGTTTTTTGGGATTTTTATTTAAATTTTAGGATTTTAAAAAAAATTTAAATTTTTATAATTTTTTCAATTTTTTTAAAATTTTTTATTTTTATTTTTGTAAAATTTTATGTTTTAAAATTTTGTGAATTAAAATTTTTTTTAATGTTAATGTGATAATTGATGACATAACACTAACTAGATTTTTTGGCTTGTGTCAATATTTTATTAAATAATCATATTATGTCAGCAAATTGACTAATGATGTTGTCTCAAGTGTCAAAATAAAATGCTGAAATAAAAATTAAAATAACAAAATGATAAATTTATTTTTTAAAATATTAAACTGAGAAAAAATACATAATACATGAGCTGGTTTTTATATCTAACCAAAAAAAAAAAAGTGCCCCCATGCAACGTCCCGCTTAAATACTCGTTAAAAAGTTACCAAATTCCTAAATTAAAATTAAAAGTATTAACTTTGAATCAGGTAATAGCCAAAATGCATGTTAAGCCAAACATAAGAAAATAAATATCAGGAAGTTAAAAATAAATAAAATTTCCTGGCTTCAAAAGTTAATATTAGTAAATGTGATACAGTTGAATTTCAGTTTATGAAGCATGTCATATACTTTTAAGATTAATAACGATATGAATTGGATTCGATTTGATTTTTTTAAATAATACATAAAATTATTAATTTTTAAAATTTAATTTAAAATCAAATTAAATTTTTATTGAATTAAATTCTACCGGTTTGATTTAATTTAGTGGTTTGTTAGATTTAAAATTTTTATTTTTATATATTATTTTAATATAATTTTTAATATATTTAAGTATAAAATAATTATTTTTATTTTATAAAAATTTAAAATTTATAAAAAAGTAAATAAAAATATATAATTTTGTTTGATTTAATTCTTTTTTAATCTTTTACTTTTTTATTTGAATATAATATATATATTTAATATCTAAACTTAATTCAAATTAAATAAAAAAAATCGATCCAGACCGATTTTTTTTTTTTTTCTCATTTGTTCATAACATATAAAATAAAACATTTTTTCCTTCTTCAAATTAGTAGAGATTAGGACAATCCAGGACACTGTGTATATTACTATAATTACTTTAGAAAATGACTATGCATCTAAGCTGAGGAACTCACAAATCAAAAGTTATATGCAGGTCACTTGCCATTCATTCAACTATGCTGAACCTTTTAAATACAAATAACGAACATCTCAAAGAGTTGTTAGGGGAAGCATCAGGAAGCAACTGACAACTGGGAAGGATCATCAAAATGATCCTCTCATATATATGTGTGTTTGATTCTATGCAATTTTCATATGGCATGTTCTTCTCATCCACATAAGCTGCGTTTATCCTGGTCAAAGTTTCAGACCCTTCAGCAACCTCCCCAAAGACCATTGCCTTGCATATTGAGCTTCGTTTAAATAGACCATAAGATTAATTTTGTTGATATTAAAAATAATAATAATAATTATTATAATTATGATTAAAAAATTAAAATTATTGTAAATACGATAAAATAATTATAAAAATTTTTAATTGAATGGATCTCATTCAAATTAATATTTAAATTTAATTGATAATCTAATGAATTCATTTATATTACATTAAAAATACAACGAATTCCAAT